TAAACTAGTGGACTAAGCCTTCCTCAGTTGAATCTTCTAAACTAGTGGACTAAGCCTTCCTCAGTTGAATCTTCTAAAGTAGTGGACAAAGCCTTCCTCAGTTAAATAAATGATCTTCTAAAGTAGTGGACAAAGCCTTCCTCAGTTAAATAAAAGATATTCTAAACTTGTGGACAAACCCTGTCAGAGTTAAATAAATGATCATGTTGTTACATCCATATCACTGAAACATGCATCAGGCTACTACATCATTGAGTCACGTTGTTCGTGTTTAACTTACATCCATGTCAGACTACTACAGTAAAATAAGAATCCATCAGTACAATCAGTTGTTATATAAAAGTCTGTGTCACTACTCTTTCTTTGTATCTGACTTAGGAAAACTCACTGTTTTAGGTTTAAAATTGAGTAATAAAGTATAATATAAATACGGAACAACTTTTAATACGTAACCAGATTTCTGGTAGAACAACAATAATAATACTAGTTTCGTGCAAGGAGGATCGCGGAATTTGGAGGAAAATGTGGATTTCTAATCAGTAGGAAAACAGTGAAACAGTGAAACAGAGATTAAAATATCACCCTTCTAGCACTTACTATTGGCACAAATTGTAAAGAAAATAACAAATATCATAGTTTTGTATTTCAACTGATTGTCCCCAAGTGGTTCAGTGGTCAGTTTATGGTTTGTTTGTTTGGAATTATGCACAAAGCTACACAATGGGCTCTGCCCACCACGGGTATCGAAACCCGGTTTCTAGCGTTGTAAGTCCGCAAACATACCGCTGTGCCATTGGAGGGCTCAGTTTAGGGACTTACAACGTTAAAATCAAGGGTTCGATTCTTGCGGTGGCCAGAGAACGATAGCCCATTGCACAGCTCTAAGCTATAGCAACATGACCGATTAAACTTCATTTATAAATCAACAAACAGATATGTCGCAAACGAAAAGACAAGAAAAAAAATGCCCGAATAATTCTAAGCATTTCTAGACGTTTCTAAACACAAAGTTTATTCGACTACTATCTGCAGTCATGTACATACCAATCTTTCTATATCCTTACGGTATGTCTTGTGGTCGGGGCAATCGACGCTAAATCCCGTCACCCGGCATGTTCGCCCTTTCAGCCACGGCGGCGTTAAAAGGTAACGGTCAATCCCACTTTTCGTTGGTAAAAGTGTAGCCCAAGGGTTGTCGGTGGGTGTTGATGACTAGCTTCCTTCCCTCTAGTCTATCACTTCTAAATTGGCCCGGCATGGCCAGGTGGTTAGGGCGCTCGACTCGCAATTTGAGAGGTCGCGGATTCGAATCCCCGTCACACCAAACATGGTCGCCCTTTCAGTCGTGGGGGCGTTATAATGTGACAGTCAATCCCACTATTCGTTGGCAAAAGAGTAGCCCAAGAGTTGGCGGTGGGTGGTGATGACTAGCTGCCTTCCCTCTAGTCTTATACTGCTAAATTAGGGACGGCCAGCGCAGATATCCCTCGTGTAGCTTTGCGCGAAATTCAAAACAAACAAACTTCTAAATTAGGAACGGCTAGCGCAGATAGCCCTCGTGCAGCTTTGCGCGAAATTTAACAAACACACAAACAAACAAATCATTTCGATATATAACCTGTATTTTCACTACAAAAGTTACACCTAATTATTGGATAAAATAACAACGACAAATAAACCCATATGACAGATAGGTCAGTAGTTTTATCCTATAATAATTATTTGTGATAAAGCAAAGAAAAAAAATGCACGATGTTCGTGTTTCTGAACACGTCAAATTAAAACATAACACGTATTAAAAGGATTCAAACAATTAAATCACAACTTTATAAATCAAGTGTTGATATCAACAAGGTCTTGAGGATTGTACTCTTTCATTAATGCAGAAGACGACGCCATTTCCCTTTCCAACTCGGTAAGTAGATCTCGGAAATTTCTGGATTCAATGTTATGACCCACTTGCTGCAAAAGGAACCAGTCACCGTAAGACATGCGATTCAACACAGCATTCAGCCTCTGAGGAGGAGTGATTCGGTCAAGAAGAAAAATCAAGTGGTATCTGATGCGCGGAGAAAAGAAGACCATAGTTCTGTAGACTAGAGCCAGTCCACTCAGAACGGCAAGGACCACAAACCAAAACCACATGAAGACGTAGATCTTCTCGTTCAGAATGTTGAGGGGGATGAGACAAAGGGCGTCGTGCTTCTGAACGTCCCCAGAAGAACCGTAGCGGTAAAAATCGCATTTAGTGACCCTGGGAAAAACCCGGACCATGGGATCCAATCTGTTCTCGGGATCTGTCCCGGTAAATCTCACCACATCCGATCCAAACGTTGTGAATTCGTAGCCTAAGAATCGGTCGACCAAATATATTTGTGAAATAACGTTCACAAAGTTCAGAAGTTCACACAGGATGTACTTCCAAGCATAATTACAGTGTTTTCCTTTTCTGGTGGTGAAATACGTGACGAGTTTCATAATGTTTCTGTTTCTTTCTTTTTCGCTTAAGATAGGCTTACTCAGCTCCAACGACATGTCCTTCACTTTTCCTTCTTCGAAACCTCTCCACATAAAACGGGGTACGTAGAATAAAAGAGCTTGGAGGAAGGTCACAAAACAAACCCACTGATAGTAGGCATGTTCTTTTACCTCGTCACCTGGCTCGTGCTTCGCCACCCCGGGGTGGGCCACTTCTACCCCAACTTTTTTGTTGAATGTCTTTGGAAGGGTGAAGGTACTTTCAATCCAACAGAACGTATTTAGTGTCTTTACGGAAATGTCGTCTTTTTGAATGCAACTAATTGGTTCACCGAAGAACTGTGTGGCCGATATCATCAGACTGAAAACCAGTAATATGGTCACAGTGACTTCATAATGAAGTCGAAAAGCGTAGTTGTCAATCTTAACCTTGTCATGTTTAATTTTGACCAGGTTACCAAGTCCACTACCAAAGAAAAGTTTGTCCATTTTATTCTCGAGTTTCTATATAACTTTTTCCAGTAAATCCCTACAGAAAACAATATATGACACGATTATTTAACGGATCTTTAACTCGTACACAACTGAACAAAGTCTAGACAACGTTTGAACCCATACCACGCAGTCCCAATCCTGTAGAGATAAGTACATCCAGATAAGAGTTAAGTTCACACCCCTATAGATAAGCGTTACGTCTCGACTTTGAACTGTGATATAAAAAATACAACCGATTCTCCGGTAGTGTGTTCATCAATACACATGATTACAAAAACACACTTTTTTGGTTGGGGGACGTGTATTTTAGGTTATGTAATTCTGTGGGTAGTAGCCCCCCTCCCTCGGAGATCCTAAAGATAAATTTACTAAACATATAGACCGAGTAGCGTGGTTCAAATCTCGCTATTCGATCATACAAACAATTGGCGGTGGGTGCTGATGGCTAAATGGTTTCTTCCTGGTCTATCACTTCAAAGTGGGTTCATAATGAAGTCGAAAAACGTAGTTGTCAATCTTAACCTTGTCATGTTTAATTTTGACCAGTTTACCAAGTCCACTACCAAAGAAAAGTTTGTCCATTTTATTCTCGAGTTTGTATATAACTTTTCCAGTAAGTCCCTACTGAAAACAATATATGACACGATTATTTAACGGATCTTTAGCTCGTACACAACTGAACAAAGTCTAGACAACGTTTCTATATAACTTTTCTAGTAAATCCCTACAGAAAACAATATATGACACGATTATTTAACGGATCTTTAGCTCGTACACAACTGAACAAAGTCTAGACAACGTTTGTATATAACTTTTCCAGTAAGTCCCTACAGAAAACAATATATGACACGATTATTTAACGGATCTTTAGCTCGTACACAACTGAACAAAGTCTAGACAACGTTTGTATATAACTTTTCCAGTAAGTCCCTACTGAAAACAATGTATGACACGATTATTTAACGGATCTTTAGCTCGTACACAACTGAACAAAGTCTAGACAACGTTTGTAT